TTTTCATTGCTGAGATGCTGTTCCGCATGGCCAAGCTTCTGAAATTAACTTGAGTGTAAATGGTTTTGGAGGTGGATCTTGGGGGCTGCAGCCTGTGACTGTCAGTTTTGCATGAAAAACATTTATCTGTAGGTCTAAATAACAGAGAGAGGAAGGGAGATAGCCCTGTGCAATTCAACAAGCCAGCCCAGATAACGAAACAGATACGGGTGATGGGCTTGCATGGCAACAGAGGAATATTGGCAAACCGCTATCAGGGCATCAGAATATTTGTGCTCTAAGGTCACATCCTCCTCCCCACCCCCACCCCGACCTTCCAGCACAGTTTTGGGGGGAAAGAGGGTTGGGCTTGTCTGAGCTGCTCATGCAGAGAAAATAACTGTTGTTCAGAACCGTACTGGCTTTAGGAGCTGGATCACAGTGCACAGCGTCAGTTCACTCTTGCAGCCTATCCCAGGGCTGGGCATATTTTCGCTGACATCCTCACTCACCCGGATGCAGAGTCAGAGGAGTAAACAAAAGGCATCCATGTTAATTCCTGCAGAGCTAGAGACACAGGGAAATGAGTCTGCCAGATGGAGAAGGGCAAAATCCAGAGGGCAAAAGGGCCCAGTGGAGAGGAAAAAAATCTTAGCTAGAGATGAGTGGAGCGGACAGTCTCCGTGTAACTAAACCAGGAGTTCCCTGCTATGGTAAGACAAAACAATATCCTGACACCATCCCCCATCCCTGCACTGTGTCCTAGAACAGGGGTTCTCACAACAAATTTTTTGGTGGCCTTAAAGTGCGGCCACCAACTCTTGCTGGTGGCTGCGCTGACAAATTTTTCCTAAAATACTTAATTAACTTTAGGAAAAATAAATAAACATGCTCATATACACAGCCAAATCACTGTAATTTATTGAAACATTTTGCAGACTCAATAATAAAAATAATGTAGTTGTCTCTAGTCTTTACTGGCCCTAAACAGAATAGAAACACAAAGAAGGTGCTCTGCAGGTTCTTGTCTTGTTTGTTGTTGTTACTTTTGGTTTTTTTGCTTACTTTTTTAAAAAGACTTGCTAGCTAGTAAGTCCGCTACTGTGAAAAGTGCTATTAACAAACATACAAATAGCACTTTTCACAGCAGCAGACTTACTCAGTCCTGGCAAGCCCGGGGACAAATTAGGGGGCAAGTGGGGGATGGGGGGGAAAACATGATGGGCTGGCGGAGGCAGCGGGGGCCAGGGCAACGGGGGTGTGAGCCCCACAGCTGGGGATTGAAGGCCCATGGCCAGAGCCTGCTGCCTGCCCCCCTAGGGCTGGAGCCTGGCCCTACCGTCCCCAAGAAGGTGGGAAACCCACTAGCTGCCTGCATTTGTCTCTCCAGAGGGGGTCAGGGTCCAACCCCTACTGGTGGCCCTGTGGGAGGGACCACTGCTTTGCCCCCCCCTCCCCCATCACTGCCCAGGAGGCTGTGGCCGCAAGAAAAGCCACTGGTGGCCACATGCAGCCACAGTGGCCGCATTTGAGAAATGCTGCAGCAGCACATCTTCTGTCACCACTTCATCTATCAGTGCGTCTGACATGGTAAGTAGGCATGTCCGTGCATACACAGGGTGTTAAAGAGCTGTTCAGCTTGCTGCCCTGCCTAGGACAGAGAGAAGGGGCCCTAGGAGGGGGATTTTACTGCTAGGTTCACAAGCAGCACACTCACAGTAAAGTTCTGAGGCTCATAAAAACTGGGGAAAAGTTGGAGTCTACAAACAATAATAAAGCTCTTACATGTGGACGTAAAAGCGGCAGGTAAAACATTTCATAGGAAAGGAACATATGAGCAATGGGAGCCATTAAACTGCTGCCGGTTCCTGGAAGCCGCTACGATTTTCTGCACACATGGACCAATTTACAGCCTTCCTTCCTCCTCTACCATTATGTAACAGACAGAACTAATCCAAATTTCACAGAAAACACAGTCCTGGTCTCCTAGACTCATTGTCTTTGTCTCTGCAACGCAGAGTTTGGTGATTCACAAATACCAGCAGTGGGAAGTCGCAGATTTACAATAATAATAAATGGTTTAGAATAAATGGTTTAGAATACACGGAGGTTTTAGCCAAAATAAATGTTCCCCTCCTTTTTGCAGTGGGGGGATGTGGATGTGACTCTGACTGTTCTGGGAGGCTAGGCTAAGCTCGGCTCAACGAGCCTGTCAAAAAGCTCACCCCACTCCCACTGGCTTCCATAGAATGGGGTTCATCTTAACCGAGGACAGACTTGGACCTGGATAATGACAACACAAAGCTATTAAGTGAAAAAAACGACACAAACCAAAAGCCTCTGGAAAAGTCTTGAAAGAAAACAAATATTCAAAATAGCAAAAGGCGCAAATGCTGACATCACTAATCTTAATTCCCACTAGTTTATCCCCAGGACTTTTTTTGTTATATTAGAAGTATTTCCTGATTTTAAAAAGGAGCGTTCAGTGGCCTGTTAAAAAAAAATAATAATAAATAAATCGGCCCATAACAATTCTTATCAACCATAGATCCCAGCAGAGTGGTTATTTTTAGAACCCCTTTTTTCCCCCCCTCTTCTTTTTTTTTTTTTTAAAACTACACAATAGTCCTAAAAATAAATACTGTGATGGGACAGAAATTCCTGAGAATTAAGGACAGCCTGACCTGGCCTAATTTCAGCCTATTCAGAAATGTGATGGGAGGGTTTCTTTGTAAAATGGGGGGGGGGGGGGGGGGGGAATCCGATAAAACATGCAAAAGTCGGAGATTGTTTATATTTAGGGCTACAGTAGAAACCTGACTTTAGAGCCAGTCAAAAATTATTTTATTGAAATATTTCCTTGAAAACATTCAGGTTTTTGTCAGAAAACAAAAATTCCCAAAACCAATTTTAATTATTTTTATTTTTCTTTGTTTTGTTTTCCTGATTGAAAACTGAGAAGTTTAACCAAAAACAATTTTGTTTTTTCAATTATGAAAAAATGGAAACATTTAACAAAAAAATGAAAGTGAAAATGTCTGTTTCACCGAAAAGCCATTTTTTGTCCAAAAAAGTTTTAAAGATTTTTTTTTTTTTAAACCAGCTCTATCTGAAACCTTTGGAAAATCCAGGGTTTGATGAGTGGGGGGGGGGGGGGGCACTGATGAAAGCACAACTAAGAGCTTCAGGGCTGAAACTTTGAGCATCAGTCAGCACAGCCCCAAGGGAAGTGACCAGTCCCTGTTAGCCTGACGGTGCTATGCGGGAGACAAGGTGCGTGAGGTCATATCTTTTATTGGATCAACTTCTGTTGGTGAGACAAACACGCTCTTGAGCTACTCAGAGCTCTTCTTCAGGTCTGGGAAAGGGACTAAGGACAGGTCTACATTTAAAACGCTACACTGGTGCAGCTGTAGCGCTTAAGTGAAGACGCTCCTACCCCAGTGGGAGAGCTTCTCCCATCAGCACAGTTAATCCAGCTCTGCAAGAGGTGGTAGCTATGTCAACAGGAGAAGCCCTCCCACCAACATAACGCTATCTACACCTGGGTAGGGGTCGGGGGGGGGGGGGGGGTTGGGTCAGTAAAACTAAATCACTGGGGGGGGGGGGTGTGTGGATTTTTCATGCCCCCAAGCGACACAGTTATACCGATATAACAGATACAGATCTGTAGTGTAGACCTGGCCTTAGAGTGTCACAGCTAAATACACAACTGAACAGATAGTTTAGCATAAGTTAGCACACATTCAAGGTGAAGTGGCCTGTTAATATCCCCGTTTACCAGTTTTACTATCTGAGTATTTGTTTTCTTTCAAATATCTCCCCGAGGTTCGGTCTGGTGACAAAGCTTTGCTTGACGACAACATGGCAGCCCTGAGCGCTGCATGGAGGCCTCGTGCAGCTCCTTTGGACACCAGTCTTGACAGGGCCCATGAATGAAGGACTGCAACACCATGCCCAGACTCAGCTCCCTTTGAAATAGGAGGACAAGGCCTGTGCGGTTACCACTCAACTGTCCAAGAAAGCGGTGCCGAGGGAGTGGCGAGGAAACGGACAGAAATGGGTGACGAGTACTGGTAGTTATTTCATGGAGTGCCATAAGCATGCAGGATGCTTTACAGAACACATGCACAGACAGGGTACATGCCTTGAACAGCTTATGGTCTAACTCAAACAAATACCGTACTCAGGACAACTGTCCCAGCATGTCACTGGGGCTTCAGGGAAGAAGGGAAGAGATTTGGAGGAGGAGAGGGAATAATACAACATGTTCAACCTGCCCCCATCCTGCAACAGCTGGGATCTTTGCCAGAAACTTAATGCCCAGAACTTTAGGCCACCACCACTCAATTCTCTGGGAGCATCAGCCCCTTTTGCTGCCAACCCATCATCTCTCCAACCCTCTGGTACTTACAAAACACACAAAAATGCTACATGCTGCTTCTCAATGAAGAAGAGGTCAAACAGCCCATTTAAATCTTAGATGTACCCTGTTGTTATGGACACAAAGTTCTGAACATGGCTGTTGTCAGAGCAACAGGTATGTCCTGCTTGGTTTTACCATCACATCAATACACTCACGGCATGTACTTTAGGGCAGATAGCATTTTCTCTGGACTGATTTATTAGGGGATTGATAGAGGCCACCCCATGTCTCGCATACAAAGCCACTCTCCTCACTTTCTCTTTCCCTGTGGAAATAGAGCACACAGGCCTCAGTGACTTTGAGCTGTGACCATGAATTCTCCAGGGAGGATTTGAGACATGACAGAAGATGAATCACCCAATTCTCTCCAACAATAAACCCCCTGCAGAACACCACCAACATTGGGGCCAGAGGAGTATAAAAAGGGCCAGTGTCAGATTTAACCTCCCAGCTATGTCTCAAAGAATCCCCAACCTGGCTGCCTGACTTCCAGAATTCGGCGCATTCTCCAGCAGAGACAAGGGAGCTCCAGGATTCAAAAGCTCCATTGTTTATCCTAGCGCGGGGCTTAGGAATGGATCAGGGCAAGCCCTACCTGGATCTGGCCTTTCCCCATGATTCGATCAGTGATCTCTCCATCTTCTTTGGTGAGCTTGGTTTTATTATAGCATTTTTCATAGCACAGAATCCGTAGGGTCTGCGATCCCTCCAGCTCGATCTCAAACTCCTGCAGCAAGGGGAAGGAGAAGGGGAAGAGCAGCAATTAGTTAACAAGGAGATAGAGTCTTCTGGATATTTGACTCTGTACAGCCTCAATGAAACCAATCTGAAGGGACCACTCAAGGGACTGACGAAGATCTCTCGTCTAATGGAGTGGGTCTTAAAGAGAGGTCAAGCAGAACAGTACTGAGTCCACTTCGGGGACACTTTGGAGGGGAGTATGAAAGATGCTTGGTCCCTTGGTCAAGTTTCAATATATTGTAGTGGTGCACCACTGAAAGAAATAGATGGTCCCATATTTCTTGTGTTTAATTACACTAGGTTTAAAATAAGCCTGCTATAAAGAAGCAGGATGCTGAAAGCTAAGTTTATAACTGTACCCTCCCCTTCGAAAAATATTTCCTTATTCAGTGTATTGCCACAGATACTTGTGTGTATATAATTTTTTTTATATATACACACACACACACACACACGGGCTGTACAATCAGCTGGCTGATCATGCAAAGGGCATCTGCTGCTGACACATTTCATCAGTGAGTCTCCAAGATTAAAATCTCCTACAAATGGTAAGAGCCCAGAGGAAACGACAGGAACCTGCAGATTGTGCTTTCAGATGTGCTGCACATGTGAGAAGGGGCCAGTTCAGGGGTCAGCAACCTTTCAGAAGTGGTGTGCCGCGTCTTCATTTATTCACTCTGATTTAAGGTTTCGCGTGCCAGTGATACATTTTAATGTTTTTAGAAGGTCTCTTTCTATAACTCTATAATATATAACTAAACTATTGTTGTATGTAAAGTAAATAATGTTTTTAAAATGTTTAAGAAGCTTCATTTAAAATTAGATTAAAATGCAGAGTCCCCCGGACCGATGGCCAGGACCTGGGCAGTGTGAGTGCCACTGAAAATCAGCTCGCGTGCCACCTTTGGCACGCGTGCCATAGGTTGCCTACCCCTGGGCCAGTTCATGCAGTACAGACTGCAAACCAAACAGCCACTTCACTTGCAAATGTTCTGCCCCAAGGGGATAAACAAGGCCCAGCATACCCACCTCATTCCAATTGGGCTCCGTAGTGTCCCTGTAAACTCTGGTCTTAGCTTTGTTCACAAAATATCCAAAGGAATCCACCTCCAACGTGCAGTACAGGTCTGGAGGTGAGACAAGAATCAGAGGCTTTGTTAAGATTACCATAATCTTTTTCTATAAGCACTGCTTCCTAGATGCTGTCTCACCTAAGGGCCTCTCTATACTGATGACACTGGAACCAGTGTAGCTACACCAGTGCAAACCCTCAGTGTAGATGGGCTGCGTAATACAGCTTACCCTGTGCTGGTGCATGGCCTGTCTTACACTGTGCAATGGGGCTACACTATGCGTTTGCACCTGCGTAGCACGGGTGTAATTACGCTGGTGTAACCACAGCAGCATAAGTGTCCTTAAATGGGTCCTCCCTGGTACCGGCACACATTCCTCAATTCAGCCCACAAGGTGCATTTCTGTCGCTTAGCAGAAAGGGCCCTTTGTCTCCTCTTTTCTTAGATTTGTTTTTGTGTGCAGTTACAGAGAGAAGCGTGGGCGCGCTGGAAGCTAGTGTCCATTCCAACGCTCAGCAGAGCCCAAAGGAAGACCCCACTGACTTCAATGGAAATTGGATTGGGATCTTCCTGAGTTACCTTAGCTGCTGCAGAAAGCGTGTGTGTATTTTAACAAGGACTCTCTCCCCACCCCACACACTGCTCAGGTTTGCCACCTGCTTGATCCGCCAGTGAACTCCTAATCCAGTGTTTATTACCATAGATGCTGTTACTGTGAGGTCAGAGATTGCGCCTTGAGATTTCACTGCAGGATCAAACAGGGTTGGAAAATGGGCAACGAGGGAGCAAGAGCCGATTTACCCATGAACTGTTGGGTAAGCAGCACATACAGTAAGAAAAATGACAGAAAATAGGGTAAGAGTGAAATGATTTGTGTTGGAGCCTGGTCTATTTGAGAGCTTTTATCTCTACAAAAAGCTAGTCAGCATCCCCCAAATGTACACTAATCCCCCACTCCCAATCACCCAAACTGACTCTCTTCACCAAACCCTGTATCCCCAAACTGACGTCTCCATGCCCAGAGTATCTCATTCTTGTCCTTTGGCTCTAACAGACCCTCACTTGCACGTCACAGATCTGCAACTCACTTGTGCTCTGCTTGAACCCCGTGGCAGAATGAACAATGACGTTCAGGAATCCATAGAGCCCGGGCGATTCGTCATCTGTACAAAAGACCCAAGAGATTTTAGTTCAGCTTCACAGAGATGGCAAAGGGAAAGACACCGGGAGGAGATTTACATCACAGAGATTGCAGAGTGGAAGATAAAGTGTCTAACCCCGGTAGCAGGAACATGACATCTAGTCAGTTTTTTTAGAAACGAGTTGTAAGTTGTTCCAGGTACCACTCCTGTCCCAGAGTCCTCTAGACAATTCTGGAGCTTTTACAATCACACTTCATTATTTTTATTTTTTTCCCTCTCTCCCACTGTTGCTGCGAAAGACCCAACAACAGAAGAAACCAACTGACTATACACAAAGGGCTGTCAACTGCACAAAGGAAAACTGAAAAGTATTATTATTTATATTACAGCAGCACCTGCTGGTCCTAAGTGAGATCAGGGCCCCAGTGAGCTGGGCACGCTATAGAATAAGCGAGAGTCCCTGCCTCAAAGAACTTCTAATCTAAATAGGTGAGACAGATAAGGATTGCAGAGGAAACAGGCACAGAGCAGTGAAGGAATTTGCCCAAAGTAACCCAGCCAGTCAGTGGCAGAGTAGGGAAAAACTTAGATCTGACTCAGCTTTTCTTATCTCTCCGTCGAGGATTCTCTCTCTAATCTGTCAGCGACACTGATCTTAGCTGTACTTATAATCACAGTAGGTAAAACTTTTCAGACAGAAGATTGTTGGCAGCCCTTTAAGCACTGGCCTGGCATTAAGAGTCAGATTGTAAGGATCTGCGGGACTAGAACTTGGGTATATGGAGCCTGGGGCAGCTGACATTCCCCCATCACCACCAGGACACCATGCAGAGCTGCAACCTAGGAGCACTCTGGAGATTAGGTGCCACAGGAAGTACCGCTCAAAGTGTTCAGAGCAACAGCACCCTGCGGCCTTCTGATTGGCCCACGGTTACTACTTAACCCTGGAGGTGCTCCAAGAAGTTGCCTGGGCAAGCAGGCAGAATTCTGTCTTGCTGCACCTCCAGACCTTGCCTCGCTGTCTGATCTTAGGTCTCCGACTTCGGCCTGTCACTGACTCTTGCCTCCTGACTCCAGTCTAGTAACTATTCCTGACCCTGGCCTGACTCTGACCTGATTCTGACTCTTGCCTACTTATTTCAGCTCTTGCACCTACTCTGATCCCTGCTTGCCAACTACCGCCTTGTGGCCAGCCCTTGGCTCCATGACACCAGCCCAGTAACAACCAGTAGGCCAGACTGCCTACGCCCCGGACTCTTACAGAGAAACCATATGATACAGTGTCATTATGTACAGGCTGCATTTCTGAATACTGGATTCATATCTGCAAACTCACCATCACACTAACTGACATGCACCACCCCTCTGCAAATCTGCTCACTGAGAACCAGCACAAACATGCTCCCAGCATCTCCGACATTTTGCCTCCCTACATTTGCTTCATTTCACGTTTTTGCTGCCTCAGCAGCAGCACCCATCATTTCATTATAAATGCCCTCCCCGTCAAACACGCAGGCCAAGAATTTCAACAGGTCAGCTCAAAATAATGTCACACTCATGCCTGCAGCTGATGAGGATGGAGACAGCTCAACAGAACAGACCGGCTCCCCCACCACAGATATGCCATCTGAAAATCCTACGCCTGTCTCAGTCATAGGGAGGACTGTGGCTACTTCACACCTTTTTCTCATGTCCAGCCTGTTCATTTTAAAAATCACATTCTAAAGAATATATCTAAGAGAGACTCCCACAGATATACATGTGCCAGGGAAGCGGAGGGGCTGGACTCCAGGAGGAAGGAGTGGGGTTAGTGGCCAGGGCTGTTATGGGTACAACGGCTAGGGGGTTAGTGGTAGGACGACAGGGGAAGGGACTTCAGTTCATTGAATGATGGGGGAAAGTAAAAGGAACAATAATTACTGAAATAATATGAGAATCCACCCAATAACAATGGGGGAGACGGAGTAAAGCCACGGGGGATGGGCAGGAATTCATTGTCAAAGGAGCAGTGGGGGAGAAAGTGAACTGCAAACATTCCACAGGTTGTATTTATACTGTGGGACCAAATAACTCTGGAACCTTAGAGCAGACACTCCCCTGCCCGCTCCCTCTGCTTGCTGTGTCTTGTCTACTCAGAGCAATCAAATCTTCCGACAGCAACTAGCTGCAGCAGAGCTGGGTTGTTCAGGGTTTAAGTGTAGTCAGAATCGGGACTGTTTTACAAGACCATCTACTCACAGCTGCCTTGAGGCCTGAATGGTAAGAGCAGGACAAGGGGGATGTAAAGGAAAGACAGGGGGTGGGTTATGACGGTAGCTGGTCCACACGAGGGCGCCGACGACCGCTCTCACCTTCTTTATTGATGGTGAGGGGGATGTTGTGGACGGTCTGAAGCTTGACGCAGGAGTTTGTCAGCATCTGGAGCTCCACGGACGTGAGCGAAAAGCTTTTAAAGCCTGCCAAGGAAATTCAGAGAGGGAATGGTATCTGCCCAGGGCACAGATCTCCATGGACACTCCCCCGAGCCCAGGCAGGGGGTACTTGCAGATGCGCCCAGGGCAATGCTAGCAGATGGCATAAGGGAGCGTTTCTGTGGTCGGAAGGAACCATGGCTCAAGCACAGACCCCTTGGCCATACTGCCAGGAGGCTTCGGCCCAGTCACATGCAGGGGCTCACTCGTCCTATGGATAGTCTCTGGATCTTGCACACAGAACGAAAGAGACTCTTCTCCCCTGGCAGAGCCATAGCCAATCCCTCTCCAAAAATAAAGCACCCCCTTCAGGCAAAGGCCAGGGAAACGGGAAGGCCTTTCACTGCCCCAGAAGGGCAGACGACTCTGAGGCCAATGGGAGAAATGACTCCATTGGGGAGAGCTCTCCCTGTGCCCTGGCTCCCAGACATTCACATCTAGGGGCTGGGAGCAAAAGCACCTCCACTGGCTTCAACTGCAGCGACAGGGCAGGAGAAGAAAAGGAATTCATCCACGTTGTCTCCTGGATATTCACGCATCTCCTCCTCCTTGTGGCAGGGGCCCATTCCCCCCTTTAGCTAACTCCCCGGGTTGGACAATCCCTTCTCTGACTCCTCCTCCCTGGCAGGGGAGAGGGGCATATGCGCTTAGGTTACCCAGCTGGATGGTCTCTAGAACGCCCTAAGACAAGGGCTCTGATTGGCCAAGGGACACTCACATTTCTTCTGCTGCTCCCGGATGTTCTCTCTCCACTCTGCCCGTTCGTAGTCTGACGAGATGAGGAATGTGTAACTCTATGCAGGAAGAGACAGGGGAACAAGGAGCATGTCATTCTGACCCACCACCTCCCAGTGAGATCCGGACCCTGCTAGTACACCTGCCAGCTTCCTCCCAGCACTGCTTTGGCAGTGCCAGCCGGGACCCTGGCACTGTGAACGCCCTCTCAGCAGTGTGCCTTCAGCACCAGCAAGGACACCTGCAGACTGGGCTTCTTCAAAGGACCACCCTGTTAATGGCAGCTGGGATTGTGGCAGCATGAGCTTCCATGACAGCTGTCTACTCTGGCCAGGCCAGCCAATAGTGCATGCCATGGAGATTAGGCAGATGTGTGGCTAAGGAAGCAGATGCCAAAATGCCTTCGAAATGAGCTGAAGAAAATGCTGGTGACTAGATCTTGAAACAATCCATTGCCGAGTATATGCAGATACCAGAGTCACCAATAACCCCACACATACAGCACTGAAGATAAATCTAAAACCACGAGCCTCTCCCACTAGCTAAGAGAGAATCTCCATAGTCTATTAGCAGTAGGGGGCCCATGAAGTCTAAAGCCATGAAATTAGACCTATGAGTACCCTCCCCCTGCAACTTTACTAAAGGATGCAGCTATGGTGCAGCAGCTGCGGGGCTTTATCCCAGGGGAAGTGATGCAGTTCCCACCCCTATCTGGTTGGATCCAAGCACAGGCAGATAGTAGGGTGAGGGGTGAATTTCTGATTTTATTTTTAAAAATGCAAATGTACATGCAAATTAACCCTCGGGCTCCTGGGTAAGTTGCCGAAGTGGCCTTCAGCATGGCACAGGCTGGACATCTGCAGCTTGGAGACTATTTTCAGACAAGCCACTGGATGATGAGACAATTACAAACTGACAAATGCTTGAGCAGATCCGATTCCCTTGGGTGGGGCACTGTGACACGCACATGCACACAAACACCCCCCTTGCGCCTCATTCTCGGTCCTGTATGCAAGGTCCCAGAGACACCTGTGGAGCAGCTTACCTTGCCGTTCCGGTTGTGAACCCGGAAAGCCATGTTGGGAGACATCAGCAACAGCAGAGATTCCTGCTCAGACAGCTTCTTTTTCAACCTCTCAATGACCTTGCTGCCCTTGTTAGCCCTCTGGAGAACAGACAGACATTCATAGAATCATAGAAGATTAGGGTTAGAAGAGACCTCAGGAGGTCATCTAGTCCAAACCCCTGCTCAAAGCAGGACCACCACCAACTAAATCATCCCAGCCAGGGCTTTGTCAAGCCAGGCCTTAAAAACCTCTAAGAATGGAGATTCCACCACCTCCCTAGGTAACCCATTCCAGTGCTTCATCACCCTTCTAGTGAAATAGTGTTTCCTAATATCCAACCTAGACCTCCCCCACTGCAACTTGAGACCATTACTCCTTGTTCTGTCATCAGGTACCACTGAGAACAGTCTAGATCCATCCTCTTTGGAACCCCCTTCAGGTAGTTGAAGGCTGCTATCAAATCCCCCCTCACCCTTCTCTTCTGCAGACTAAACAAGCTCAGTTCCCTCAGCCTCTCCTCGTAAGTCATGTGCCCCAGCCCCCTGATAATTTTCATTGCCCTCCGCGGGACTCCCTCCAATTTGTCCACATCTTTTCTGTAGTGGGGGGGGGGGCCCAAAACTGGATGCAATACTCCAGATGCGGCCTCACCAGTGCTGAATAGAGGGGAATAATCACTTCCCTCAATCTGCTGGCAATGCTCCTACTAATACAGCACAATATGCCGTTAGCCTTCTTGGCAACAAGGGCACACTGCTGACTCATATCCAGCTTCTCGTCCACTGTAATCCCCAGGTTCTTTTCTGCAGAACTGCTGCTTAGCCAGTCTGTCATCAGCCTGTAGCCGTACATGGGATTCTTCCGTCCTAAGTGCAGGACTCTGCACTTGTCCTTGTTGAACCTCATCAGATTTCTTTTGGCCCAATCCTCCAATTTGTCTTGGTCACTCTGGACCCTATCCCTACCCTCCAGTGTATCTACCTCTCCCCCCAGCTTAGTGTCATCTGCAAACTTGCTGAGGGTGCGATCCATCCCATCATCCAGATCATTAATAAAGATGTTGAACAAAACCGGCCCCAGGACTGATCCCTGGGGTACTCCACTTGATACTGGCTGCCAACTAGACATAGAATCGTTGATCACTACCTGTTGAGCCTGACAATCTAGCCAGCTTTCTATCCACCTTATAGACCATTCATCCAATCCATACTTTTTTAAACTTGCTGGCAAGAATACTGGAAGAACGTATCAAAAGCTTTGCTAAAGTCAAGATATATCATGTCCACTGCTTTCACCATATCCACAGAGCCAGTTATCTCATAGAAGGCAATCAGGTTCATCAGGCATGACTTGCCCTTGGTGAATCCATGTTGACTGTTCCTGATCACCTTCCTCTCCTCCAAGTGGTTCAAAATGGTTTCCTTGAGGACCTACTCCATGATTTTTCCAGGGATTAAGGTAAGGCTGACAGGTCTGTAGTTCCCTGGATTCTCCTTCTTCCCTTTTTTAAAGATGGGCACTATATTTGCCTTTTTCCAATCGTCCGAGACCTCCCCCGATTGCCACAAGTTTTCAAAGATATTGGCCAATGGCTCTGCAATCACATCAGCCAATCCCCTCAGCACCCTCGGATGGATTAGATCTGGACCCATTGACTTGTACATGTCCAGCTTTTCTAAATAGTCCTCAACCTGTTCTTTCACCACTGAGGGCTGCTTACCTCCTCCCCATACTGTGTTGCCCAGGACAGCAGTGCGGGAGCTGACATTGTCTGAAGACTGAGGCAAAAAAAAGCATTGAGTACTTCAGCTTTTTCCACATCTGTCACTAGGTTGCCTCCCCATTCATTAAGGGTCCCATACTTTCCCTGACCTTTTTCTTGTTGCTAACATACCTGTAGAAACCTTTCCTGTTACCCTTCACATCCCTTGCTAGCTGCAACTCCAGTTGTGTTTTGGCCTTTCTGGTTACACCCCTGCATGCTCGAGCAATATTTTTATACTCCTCCCTAGTCATCTGTCCAAGTTTCCACTTCTCGTAAGCTTCCTTTTTGTGTTTAAGCTCACTGATGCTTTCACTGTTAAGCCAAGCTGGTCGCCTGCCATATTTGCTATTCTTTCTGAACATCAGGATGGTTTGTTCGTATGTCCTCAATAAGGCTTCTTTAAAATATAGCCAGCTTTCCTGGACTCCTTTCCCCCTCGTATTAGCCTCCCAGGGGATCCTGCCCATCAGTTCCCTGAGGGAGTCAAAGTCTGCTTTTCTGAAGTCCAGGGTCCGTATTCTGCTGCTCTCCTTCCTTCCTTCCTTTTCTGAGGATCCTGAACTCAACCGTCTCATGGTCACTGCTGCCCAGGTTGCCACCCACTTCTACTTCCCCTACCAATTCTTCCCTGTTTGAAAGCAGCAGGTCAAGAGGAGAACAGCCCCTGGTTGGTTCCTCCAGTAGTTGCACCAGGAAGTTGTCCCCAACACTCTCCAAAAAACTTCCTGGATTGTCTGTGTACTGCTGTATTGCTCTCCAAGCAGATGTCAGGGTGATTGAAGTCCTCCATTAGACCACATTACGGTGGTCTCATGCTAGAATCAATGTGGAGGAGGAGATTTGACTCGATTTTCTGATCTATCCCCCTCTTCCCTTCACAGGTGGCCAAACAACATGTCCATGCAGCAGTGGTTCTGCCGTCGGGCAGGTGGAACTCCACCCCACTTAGGAAATGGCTTGGATTCTGCGACACCTGAGAAAACGCACGTCTAGCAAACGAAGAGGGGCCGACATTAGAGCCACAGAGCCCACTGTTTGATTGGTGACAGTGAAAGAGGTTGACATGTTTATCCATAGACCTGCTTATGCATCCAAATTCGCTAGGCTTCAAACACACTTAGAAGGCACTGCTGATATGGTGAAAATGCAGAGGTATCTTTATATGTAGGGTGACCAGATGTCCCGATTTTATAGGGACAGTCCTGATTTTTGGGTCTTTTTCTTATATAGGCTCCTATTACCCCCCACCCCCGTCCCGATTTTTCACACTTGCTGTCTGGTCACCCTATTTATATGTGACCAAAGCCACACCCAGGGTCGTGCTTAGATATCCAAGAGCTGAAATCTCTGAAAAACAGGCTCACCACATTTCTATCCACTCTCATGTGCCCTCGGCACAAAAGCTACCCCATTCCTCCCAATTCCTCCTTCAACAAACACATAGCACCATGAGCAGGGCCTGCCAACACCGTGAGAACATTCAACACCTAGTTGCTGGATGCTTTGTTATTCCTGGATGCCCAGAGGACACTATCACACCAGGGATAATGCATCATGCCTAGCTATAGCTGCCTGCCCAACCACTACATGGGTAACCAAAAGTTTAGTTCCACTGCATGTCACAAGCAAGTGCCATAGCTTAGCAGCGTTACCTGTCCAAACAAACTCTGGAGGTGAGTTACTCCCCCCAGCAGCATCCCACTTCCAGGTTGGGACGCAACGTGCACCCTGGGCTTGGGGAAGACGGCTCCACCTGCCGTTACCTTTTCTCGCTGGATGTCATTCTTCATCTGGGAGATCTTGATCTTCATGGCATCCAGCTCCTCATCAGGCACGAGTGGGATGTTGGGCACTGCCTCGGACTCATCCACAGTTTGGAAGCTGAGGTCTGTGAGCGGAATGTACCATTTACAATCATACTGCTGGCTTTTCCTGAAAAGAAGAGGGGACAGGGCTTTAAACACACTTGCACTCCATCAGCTCACCCTACTCTTTCCATGCTTCCCCCCCTAGTGGTTTCAGCACTGCAGGTTACAAGACAGTGAAACAGGCTCCACCTCACTGTAACCCCTGAGATGGAAGCACAGCTGGGGTAGGTCAGTTTTCCAGCAATGAATCTTGAAGGAGCCAATACCCACTACAATGCTATGTACAGTGTGCTGCCCGCTGGTGCTGCCCGTAGATTTTATTTTTTTTAATCAAGTGCTCACTCTGAAGCATCCCAAAGCACTTCCCAAATACCGGGATATCTTTAAATACAACCATCTCTGGGGCAGAACGCAGCAGCTTGCTGCACAAGAGCTTATGATCATATAATGCGATGCCTCTGGGTGGGTCTTTGGCAGAGAGGACTGAACCTGGGACCTCTGGATCTAAAAGCAGGAGCCTCTGCTGCCTGCTGCAGAAGTTTTTCGCAAGCCGTAGCTGCCTCATAAACCCGTGAGATCCAGCCACTAGAGGGAGCTAGCGAGTAACCCTAAGTGCAGGCTGCAACAGGAAGTGAAGAAGACCACCTGAAACTGCAGGGGAATGAAGGGAGGCAGAGTTAAATGACCCAGCTGGAATTTGTCCAGGATGCCACAGTTCGCACCCCTGCTTTTAGGAAGGTAGCCAGGCAGTATTTAACTCCCCGAAGTGATGAGGATTTTGGCTCTGTCTCATCTGAAGGACAATGCTACACTGTACAATGTTCCCTGTATGGGCCGCAGCGTTGCGGAGTTAGGTGCAGCTGTATGCACGGAACTAGCGTTCTGCCAAGTCCACTGCTCTGAATATAGGGTGCGAAGCCCCGGAAAATGGGGTGTGAAGCGGGAAAATCCTCACCCTCCAAGCTGCTTCTTGAGCTTGGCGCACAGGAACAGGTCAGTGAAAAGAAAGACGTGGCGCAGCTTCCGAGCCCCCTCTACCAGCTCCACCATGAAACTGTCCTTCAAGAGCTGCCGGTGCTGTCAGAAACAGGAGACACAGTTCTAGTTAGGACAGGAGGGGTCAGTCTCTGAGCCAAGGCACTATGGCTCCCCTCGTCAATACCTCGGGTAAGATAAACCTCCCTAGCACCAGCCCAAAGCTTGATCCTCATGTGACCCATCACTGGTGGAACATGGCAAACCTGCCCCACCCACTGCTCTCTCCAGGACTTTCTGTTCCAAGGGAGACCCTCTCTGTGTGCCTGTCCGAAGCGGGGCCTGAGAAATGGATGATCAGTTGAGGGGTCTCATTAATTGGCCTGCATGTTTACTTCTTTCTCCACTCGTGCTCTCTCCTTGTTCATGCCCTTCCTTGGGGCTTTCCTCAGACCCACTAAGGATGCATACTTAGCACAGAGGGCCATCCCAGTGACTTGGCTCGGGCCATCCCCTCTCTTGCTAATCCTGGCCACTGAGTTAACTCTTTGCGGTCTGGGCCCTTCCTGCTGCTCTCTCCACCACTTGCAGGACGTGCATAATCAGAGAAAGTGGCTGAATGTTGGGTTTTAGTTTTTAACTGGAGTCAAATCTCCACCTCGTGAACTGCCAGCTGGCTTGGGGCAAATACTTCTGAGAGCTGCACAGAGCGCAGTTACCCACTGCCTGGTGCAAATGCTGGACGGCTCACCCAGACTCTCCAGGCTCAGCCTCTCTTTCCAGTCACTCTTGACTTTCCAAGCATTTTCTTTGGGGGCTGAAACTTCACCTGCCAGCTCTCACTCAAAGGAACCTCGCTGGAAACATCAAGCAAAATCCTTTCAGCGGCTTTAATTTATGGCAAGTCATTGACAGACCATTACCACACACACAGGGCTTGCCAGCAGCCTTCATCAGCAAGGCATTCCACCGTTCACTAGCAGAGGGCAGCATACACCGCTTCACCAGGTAAACTTTTGCATCTAGCTGCAGCCACTCTGCAGAACTACCAAATCCAGACCATGAAACACCCTCCTCTCCACGCTGTACCTGTTTGTACACAGCAGCTGCTAAATATTCCTGCTGCTTCCCTATTCCAACAAGTACTGCTAAGGGACCTATATTTGCTTAGAAAAGCTAGCAAATCCACCAGCAGTCCCTAATCAGCCAGTAGTTGAACAGTCCCATCTGGATGTGTTTTTCCTATGTATTTACTTAAAGCCTTTTTCTATTCCCCATAAAATTTCCCCAAAACATGAGACACTGATCAGACCTCAGAATTAGCATGGAGCATAGCTCGGATGCCTTTATCCCCCTCAGAAGACAGGCTCCTAGTTTCAAGGGTCTGAATGAGTTCCTTGGGCCAAGTGGTTTGTTTCAGACATGACGACTGTCCCCCTTTTCCTCCCCTTGGGCCTCTCCTTCGGTGTGGGGCTCTGGAGTATCATTCAAGCAAAACAAGGCAGTAGTACGTAGTCATCAGCAAGCTACTACAAAGTTTCAAGCCCAGTTCCGTGCTCAGACCTTCCCCCCCAAGAATCAATGGCAGCCTGAACGTGAGCTAAGGGAGGTGAAATCTTGCAGAGGGTTCCAAATTGGGCTTTCGGGATTCTCAATTTGGGGGCAAGTCTGATCCTCACAAAAGTGGAAATCTTCTAGCACTGCCTTGATCCAAGTACCGAGCAGGCTTCTCTGCCCAGTTCTGCCAATGCACCCAATCCTGACCTACATCACCCCTGTTACTCCGGTGTTGGGTCCACACACCTAGATACTATGGTGATCGGTGCTCCAGCAATAACTTTTATGCCTAGGTATTCTGGTGATAGCTCTGCCAATGTTACTCAATCCTAATTGAGTCCTCCCTCCCCCCGGGTGTTTTCCTATCTGCTCCTTCCATCATCCCCCCCACAGACAGCTTTGTCAGTGTACCCTGCTCCTGAGCTACCAGATCTCTACTATTTCAGTACCAGGCTCTCACATGCAAAAATTGCCAATTCCCAAGCTGTGCTATGTTTTGACTGGGAAATGGATGAGACTGAAACATCCAAACAGTTACTTGTAACCAAATCAGAGTTTAAACCTAAGTCTGCGAATGTAACGCCCTGTGCATTAACTCACTGTTCTCCTCAACACCCCAGAACACTCTCAATGTAGAGAACACATCTGTAGGCGTGTTCATACCCATCCACCCACCCACCGAGCGTTGCTCTCTAAACTACCTTTATCGATACCGTGATGTGAGTCCCAACAGACGACATGGTGGGGAATACAAGGCAGAGTGATGAAGCACAAGGAGCAGTTCTTGTTTCCACGTTCACAGTCAGAGCATCATACATTTTCCAGTATAAACCAACACATTGCACAAGGCTGCACTAAAGCCTTTTCTGGGTGCTAAAGAGCAGGAATCAGTCGCAGGGATGCTTGCCAATCCCAAATGTCACTGCAATTCTGTGATCACTAGCAGCAAATGTTCCACCCCGTCAGTGGTGCAACCCTGTTCCCTGACAGATCACGGTACCATTTCTGGGCAAGATCCTGGGGAGCAAGGGAATCCAGTGGTGAGTCAGGCTCGGAAAGGCCTGTGGATGTGTCGATGTTTATTTTTAGGAGGGCGTGAGCCTCCTCAATCCTCCCTGGGTTTGGAGAGCATGCCTGCCTGCATTAATGTCTCTGCTACTGATGTGTGCTCATTTCCCGCCCCCAAGGGCTACAGAGCGACCTGCAGCCCAGATATGGAACCAGGAGTGTCTGGGCAGAAACAAAGGATAGGCCTTGTCAAGAGCAAACCCCCACCTTCCACAGCTGGGAAGGATTCAATTTGAGAGAGAGAGAAATGAGGCAGAAAAAATGGTATTTTTCAGCAATCCAGAACTCTAATTTAATGTTTTTAGAGCTGATGAATATTTATTATGATGCAAATCAACTCTGCTCCTCTGAGGCGTGTGAACAGCTGCTTGTTGCCAGCCAAATCTCTGCTCACCATCCTTAGGTGTAAATATGTTCTCACACGTCAATCCCATTTGTTACCCAGCTGCAATTCTGGGGTGCAATGCTGATCCTCCATTCCTCCCCCCAGCCCACGAGGGTCTTGCCCTAGGGGAGGCTGCTGCTGTGCCCCCGTGGCAGGCCGGGGATGAGAGGGTTGGGCAGGTGTGGTTAACAAGGTCCCGACTATTTGCTCAGTAGCCAGGCACTCTTTGAAGCCGATGGGGAGCTGGAGCAGGGCCACTGTCTGCAGCCTCTATCCGCCGCTGAAGGAAACCATGTCTCTGAATCCCGGTCTGAAGACAAAGGGGACAGGCCACAGTGGCTGCTGGGTCAAAGGCAGCTCTGGCCCAAAGAGCTGCCCATTCAAGGCAAGACTCCCATCCTGCTGAGACGCTGCTGGCTTAGGGAGAAAGTTTCCTTCTTACAGGGGCCTCAGATGAGGCCATTCCTGGTCACTGACAGTGCGCCCCCTTCTGAGAAATTCAGCGAAGCCAGCAAGTAGCCTAATGCTTGGTCCTTGCACAGACTCACGTGAGCTGTTCGAGAATTGAGCTGTTCTGCTTGGCTCTGGCTCAGTTTCATCTCCCCTCTGGATCTGTCAGTGCTCTGATACCTAGGCTGAGGGTCAGAACCGAAGAGTCTCCACAGGCCTGGACTACCTGGGCCATGGCTCCAAATACAACCAGGGACTGCAGCCAATGGAGTGCGGAGGGTTCCCACCTGCCACCCCTAACATCACAAGAGTGTGAGGGAGGGGGTAGGTGCAGGCAAAGGCAGTGACCAGAGGGGACTGACAGTGTGAATATTCTCACATGCCATTGGGATTCCAGATCCACCTACTGCCCCCGACCCCACTCAGGGCATCCATTCCCAAGAGCCTCAGCCACAGGGGCCACCTGCATAGCCCCTGCCTGTAAACATCCAGGCAGGCTCTTCCAAGTAGCAGGTTCCCACTTGCTCAGAAAAGTTCCATGTCCAAAATTCCCCATCAACCCAAACAGGAAGTTCAGTACCGCCACAGGCAGAGCCCTGCTGTGATGCTGAGAGCCACCATCCTGTCAGCCTGTGATGCTGTTCCTGAGGCAATGCTGATCTATGCTGAGTTTATCCAATCCAGCACTTGGGGGATAAGTCATCCCGATACTCGAGATAAGACGCTAGCATGAGGCACCGGAATGACTCCTACAGAGGTGGGATTTCTCAGGAAAAGAGGCCGGCTGGGGAGCCTGGCAGAGGATGTATTCTAGTCAGGCATAGGAAGTCAAGGAAGGGGGCGGAGGGGATGTATTCCAGTCAGCGACGAGGAGGGAAAAATTTACCAAGCCTCACAGAGGGGGGGATTTTATTTCCTCTTCTGCTCTATTAACAGTCCTGACTCATGAGCCTACCGGAGACATGTCCCTGCAAGGGAGACCCAGGGAGATATCTCCATAGGAGATGACCCAAGGAACTTCCAGCTCCTGTGGGCGAGGGGCAGAGGGGTGGGGGGAAAGGAAGCCTGGAGAGTGGCTTTGTGGAGCAGGCTGGAATCTCGCTCTCCACAGCAGGGTGCTTGCTGAGCCTGAGCTGGGGGATGGATTTATCTGCCCGCTTCTCCTGGAACTTGACAAGACGTGGTATAATAGGTGCACATCAGGCTGCTGATCACTGATTGGGGCGGTGGGGATTTTCCAGTAGGGAGCTGCTGGGGTCATATCCTTTGCTGCGATGACTCATCTGGCTGGGAGGGTTCAGCAGGTCAGAGGGAAACAATAAAAGGATTTCCCAACCAGCTGACTACAGGCTTCTTTGTGAGGGAGCAAAGGATACCTCTCCCCAAAAGTCGGTCAGCACGTGCCCAATCCCCCGATCCCGCCCCAGGAGAAGTCAGCATGCCCCTCCGACGTTCCCAGCACCTGTCTGCACACGCCCAGGGTTCACACCCTGCCTCAGCCATGCTCCCTGGGCAGAGGAGACAGATTCCAACAAGGAGCCTGCTAGACAGAATCTGCTGCACCAGTGACTGGCTACAGGCTGCCCCAGTGCAGGGGAGTGAGAGGCCCAGGGAGCATGCCCCACAGGCCTGCAGTCAGACA